TCAAATATATGGTTAATTCCAAAAATTATTAAAAAAAACAGTGCAATGTAAAACGTAAGTATGGGTACCAAATGAAATAATTTTTTGGGGTTCACAAGGACGAATAGGCATTGAAAATGCTCCTTTAATCTATTTTATTTTTTTAAGCTAATAAAGTTAGTCCTTTTAGAATTTTTTCAAAAATAAGTATTGAAAAATTTCAAGGATATTCAAGGAAAATGCCTACCCTCCCCTACGCACCAAAAAATTTAATGTGTTTTAACTCTACAGAATCTTCTCCTTCATTTGATACCCACACTGGCTTTTTAAGTATATTACATTGCAATTTTTAAATTAACCATATCTTTCAAATTTCAAAGTTCTTTTAAGAAATCCTGACGTCAGAGCGTAAAATTAAGAATGCAATTTTACTATATTTGGCCCTTGGTTTGACTATATTAATTTTATAATTTTGAATATATTAATTTTTTTTGTGTGCAAAATTGCCTGCCGCAAGGGAATTATATGTATATTGAGATTCATATTTATAAAAAAAATTTTAAATATTAAATTAACTAAAGAAATATAGCCAAAACTGTTCAACATAAAGCGTTTCTATTATTGCCACCAGTGTAAATTACAAATCCTGAAAATCCCGGGATTCAAGGCAAATAATCCCGGGATTTTCGAGACTAAAAAAATACCGGGATTCCTAATAGGTATATTTGCCTAGGTGCAGTATCAGTCATATCAATAGCACCCCCATTACAAAGTCAGATTGTTTACCATTTTGTTCATTTTTTTTAAATCTGGTCGACATTTTTGATGAAAAATCGTTGTTTTTTCCTTTGATTTGTATAAAGCTTGAAAATTGGGTTAATGTAATTTTTTCTTAAGCATGATCATTTTTTTTTTATAAAATAATAAACAAATTTTAGCTCTCAATATAATGTGAATACCTACATAAAAAGGAAATTGTGTACGGAGACTTTTGCTGTTAAGTGTAGCTTAACTAAATTTTATGGTTATATTTTGCATTCAATTTTATACGTACATATGTATACCTATGTAGATGTATAAAAATGACATTAATGTTACCAATAACGACATTTTTGGAAATATTTCAGCGGTTGCCCCATAAAGTGAAGAATTACATATTAAATAAACGAAAACAGTTTGCTATTAGTTTTAGGGTCTGATAGCAGCGCAGCTAGCACCACATGAGTTTCAACCGCCCAGCTCTGCATCCCTTTTGCAGTAGTTCAGATACATTTCTGAAATTTGCAGGGCAGAACTAGCGCTTTGCCAGAATGTCTCTAAATTTTGCTGCGGGGCTAGTATAAAGTGGTGATATGATTCCACCACATCATCATCGTCTTGACAGCTCATGTAAAAGGGATCAGTTAAGATTCCCAACCTTACTGCGTGAATACGAATGGCACCTTGTCCTTTTAGAGCCCGCACTAACAGCGATAGTTGAGGCTTTGCAAGCATAAGGAGTCCTTTCATCGCCCTCGGTCCACCTAAGGCCAGAAGCATCTTTCAATTTGGCCTGTCCTAGCTTTACGTGAGGCCGAAATCACCGAAAGAGTGGACCGAAGGAAGACAGAGGCGTCCCCAGCTGTCCCGTTCCTGGTGACAACGTTTAAAGGGTGCCTTTCCTTGCCAGATCATCAGCCATGCAGTTTCACGCAATGCCACTATGTACCGGCACCCAAATAATCCTGATTAGTAAATACTCCGACGCGGTTGATAGAGGCGTCAGACATTCCCTTACTAATCTCGAGCGCCATTATATCATTCAGGGTCTTGATAGCCGCCAGACACCGGTGCCAAAACTAATTTATTTCCTCGCCAGAAACATTACTGCATAGGGGGCTCATTTCATAGGTCTGCCATAAAATTTGTAACCTGAAACCACTCTGTCAGTCGTCCACCGATTTTCGTTTCCTTTATAATTAAGGATGGTTAGTGCAATATTCTAGGTTTTGGAAACTTCTCTCAGTGTACCCAACCGCTTGAAAATTATCTATGCATTCGTTTCAAGCCGAATGCGTTGTTTTCCAAACGACTGACTACCTAATTTCCTATAAGTTTTGAATACCTTTTCCACACTCGGCAATGCCATAAAAATTCAGCTAAAGCGCATTTGATAAAATGCAAAACAATTCGTTAGCTTTCTTTTCCAGTCACTACGATTTAAGGTGGAAAAATTTTCCCAGCCTTTTGATTTGCTGCTGCCACTAACAAATATTTGCGTATTTTGCGCTTCGTGGATTGCAAATAATTGCGTTTTAATTTGAAATGGACGCTGTTTTCGGCAGCAGCAGATGCACATTTCAGAGCGTCGAAGAAGGGTGCTACTTATATAATGTAACAACCATAAGCAAAAAAAACAACAAGAAATAATAACAAATGCCAAACGTTAGGTAGCACATCAAAGAGTCAAATGGTTTCGGGTTTGCTACAAATTTTCGTGTACAAGGGTAACCGGTTGATAAAAATTTCCCCAGCAGTTTGCAGCCTTTAGGCAAATCGGCATGCGTTGCGCTGGTGAGTGCGCGTGTGCTCACATGTGTGCGTGTGACAATTAACGGTGCTATTATGAGCTTGCGTGCATGGTTCAATGTGCACTTGAATGCGTGCAGCACACATAGAAAATTCTTATAATCACTGACATTATTTTAATTGCTTTGTATGGGAAAATTTGCTTAGGCAACTTTTGTAAAGCAAATTTGCATTCGTGGAAATTGTTGTTGTGCCGCAGTGATTTACAGCAATTCATTTTTATGTATTTTATGTCACTCAAGAGCGCTGACGTTGAAGATGATGATTGAGTGGTTGTTTGTTGATTGCAAGAATTGGCATTTAAGTTTTGAAGAGCACACGGTTAAGGGGTGAAAAGAAAATTAAATGCTCCGAAATTTTTAATAAGCCCGGAAGTGTATTAAATTCCGCGCTTTGTTAGTGCGCAACGAGTTGGCAATATTTTTCTCAGCTCAAGCCAAGTATCCATTCCAATGTTGCGCATCCTAGCTGGCTTTTATTTCCTATATTTTTGGTTGAATTGTAGTTTTGCTTTTTTCCCACATCCTTCACCGCACATTTTTCGTTTTTTTTCCCAACTATGCAGTTTTCCCCCTAAATATTTTATTTTCGCTACTCAGCGCCTGCATTTTTCCGATTTTCCGCCACACTTTTTTTTTTTGTTTTTTATAGCTGCCATTCACCTTTTCTACCACGTTTGCGGCATTAGTTTCATTTTCAAATTACTGCAGCTATCCAAGCGGAAATTTGATGATCCTGGTTGCACCTCGCAATAATTCGTCAAGTTTTCCCTTTCGCGCTCAACTGAAGGTTTGCTTTAATTGGCTTTTGCTAGATTCTGATTTTTTTCGGTGTTTCAGATGTCGGTCACAGCTTTTAATTCTGTTCGGAAAAATTTTTAAAAAGTTTTACTAATACAAAGGGATGCTTTTTTCTTAAAATATGTTTGGCGACATTTTTTCTGTAGAAATTGTACATTTTTTTTTCTTGTCTGTATTGCTGCACTTACTTTCTATCATTTAATTTTTTTTATCAATGGTTCATATTCCCATTTTTTTATTATACATTTCTTCATGACTCTTCTTGACTATTCATTCTCTTTTAATATTTTTTAGCTCTGTTTTTCATTCCTAAATTTTTTTTTTTCTTTCATTCATTTTTTCTGTCCATCCTCCTCCTCTTAATTTTCCTTACAGTCATTAATTTAGTTTTTTCCACATTTTTTCTTCTCTTACCTTCTTTCCATTCGGCTTAGAATTCACATCCGTTCGCGTTAACAAAGTAATTATGTTCATCATGAATCATAACTCACTAATTCTCTCATTATTTAAGCTCAGTCGTCTGTCAACTCAGCTAAAATTTTCTTTCCTGCCCGTTGTCAGTGGGTGTCGTTAGATTAGCTTAATTGCTGGTAAATGGCTTATTTATCGTGTGATTTTTGGAGTATGCAGAAATTAATGGTCTAGCGTAGTTGGAAAGCTTAATAAATTTGATGATCTCAGTAAAGTATATTTTTATTTTGTTTTGTTTTTCTTTTTACAGACACTGTTTGGGTGTGGTATCTAGAAACTATTTAGCAAATTTATCCCATTCCTCAAGTTTTAACCCGTTCAGCATATTTTTCGAAATTGTAAAATCGTTTATCCTTGCTTACTTCGCCCACATCCTCATTTAGTCGTGATTTATAGAGAGATCAAGCGTTCCCATTTCAAAGTAGAAAAATATGTTGTCTCTAGACTTCGGTACTCAACGTCATTTACACTACAATTTGAGCTCTAGGAAGGAAAGAGACAATGAGAAAGCAAAAATGAATGAAATCAGGTAACCTCCTGTTTCGTTAGGTCCATCTGGTTGGTTGGTTGGTTGGTTAAAGTGCCGAGTTGAGCAACTCCGATTAGCGCTTATTTGTGCCATTTTAAAACCACTACTCGCAATAGATCCTGAAAAGAAAGCCCGAAAAAACAGCAGAAGTCGGTTATTTATCTCAAACCCAGCATGTGGAGTTGAAGTAATTCAGAAGCAAGGTTTGCCTAGAAGCCTGATTCTAGTCTTACAAAGTGCTGGGCAACCGCAGAGCAGGTGCTTCACCGTTTCTTCCTCATCTGGTAAGTTAAAACCACGACAAGAATTGTGTTCCAGTCCTAATCTTGCAGCATGGATTCCCACGGCAGTTAATCGCGTTTTTTTCACCTACTGTTAGCCACCTTTTGCCAGTACTGAGAGATACGGCCCTTGATATAGCTCAGTGGCACAAGAACCTCCTCTGCCTCTGGTATATCTAAAGCCGATCAATTCCCGGCCGGCTCGTCAGCCATTTCGATGCCATGAGTTCTGTTGTGCCCCGGCACCCAATTCTGTGCCAGCTAAAGCCATAACGTTCTCCCTGCGCTGTTTTATTATGCTGGAGGTGAATATTTAAAGACGCAAGTGCCTTGATCGCTTCCTGGTTGGTTGGTTGGTAGAAGCGTCGCCTGAGTACATTCCCCGGACCCAGTTAGTGCTGAAAGCACCATTTTGATACGCTTTCTCTGGTACCCTTGATTTTATCTGATTTCATGATTCGTTGGGTTCGTCAGACCATTTGGATTTTCCGATGAATCTATTTAGGTTAGTAATGGTGAATTTGGAAATTTCCCCACGATTTTGAATAGAAAAACTCCCGAGTGTGTTCTGCCTTATTTGTGCCAATGGTGGGCTCTCGCAAAGATAGTGAAGGACCGTTTTTTCCCCCTCAAGTTTACAGCTACGGCACCAAGAGTTATACGGAAGGCCCATTTTAGCTGCATGTTCACCAATGGGCCAATGTCCCGATATCGTGGCTATTAAATTATCTATGCCTTTTCTTGTCCTCTTGAGAAGTTCTTCATCCTTTCGCTTGTCATAATGCGGCCATATGTTCCTCGCAGTTTTGCAGGTTTAAAGGTTGTTCCAACATGTAGCACCCATATGTGTGAATGGCATATGCAGTCCCCTTTTGATGAGCCCAAGTGGACAATTTATAGTCTCTGCTTCGGATTCATCCAAAGATGCCTCGGCCTTAGCCAACTCGTCAGCCCTCTCATTTCCATGTATGTTCCTATGGCCGAGAACTCAGATGATAGTGATGTATATTAACTCGGCCGCCGTGCTTAACGCACATTTGCAATCTCTCACTGTTTTGGATTTTCTTACAGGTGAGGCAAGTGCCAGAAGTACCGCTTGCCTATGCTATACGGAAATGTATGCTTTTCTTACACCTACGCAGTTGCTCTCTATTGCTTTGCAGGGTCCCTTTCGATGCCCAGTACTTCCGCTTGGAAGATGCCAGCAAAGTTAGGTAGTCGAAACGAGAGAGAGACATTCAGCGCTTCACAGAACACCCGCGCACCCACACTGCAGTCCATTTTGAAGCCGTCAGTATAGATTTTAGTGGGATTCTCCTCGACTATCCTGCCCCTACTCCAATCCCGCCTTGAAGGAAGCTTCACCTGAAAGCTTTTCCTGGTGCAGGATCACATTAAGCACATCAGATCAAGTTTAACTTGTTAAAAAAATAATTGTTATTTTCGGTCCCAGCTTTTACGCAATCCTATCGACTATCTTCATTTCTTTCAAAGAATAACATGAACTTTCCAGTTGACAAATTCAGTTCTCTTTCCCAAAACAATTTGGCTCAACCACAAGCAATTGAACTGAACTTACCTTAGCTACAGCTGCATTTATGAACATACATAGTAAATATGCAGACTCATCCATCTCAAATGTTTTTCAGGCCATACTCCCCTCCAATGAGTGCATATAAATATATCAGTATTATAATCATAATAATCGCATAAGTCATATACTGACAACAACATTTTCATAATAACGATAAACATATTTCTCCTAAGTAAACGTTTAATCCACCAACTTGTCCTGTAGCGGAGGCTGATAGTCGAAATATTGTAAATGGGGCTGAAGAGGTAGGAGTGACACAGCGGCTTAGCAATGCAGTAAGCGAAGGCTTCACAGGCATTTACATAAGTGTGAGTGAGGTGGAAGCCCCCAGAGCAAATGAATATACAGACTACTTATAAGCTGAGCGTTAGCCAACATTCGCAACATTTTCATTTCCGTTTCCGCTACCGTTTTATTTTTATTTCTTATTGCGTTATCAAATAATGAATATCAAATGTAATGCTTATCATTTATTTGCAAAGCAAACCAAACTTGTGGCAGAAGATGGAGCAAAAAATAGAACGCGGAGCAAACAAGTAGTAGTGAGCGAAAAAAAAATTCACAAAATATACGGGTATGTGCATAAAGGTAAAGATGTTTGTACATACATATTTGTCGGCTGCTGGCGGCATTCCAGGTGCTGGTGCAGGCGCTGTTGATGCTGAGGCGGCCCAGCCACTTCATATTATAATTTTTACTTAATTTTCATTTGATTTCAGTATATTTTTTTACGCGCGTCCGCAATTTTTTTTCCATGGTTAGCCTACGCAGATGAATTACTGAATTGCAAAGCAGCAGCAAATAGAAAAAAGGTATTGGAGAACGAAGACAGCGGAAGCTGGTAGCATAATTTTTCCACACCAAAGCCTAAGGGTGAGAGTATTTGCTTTGCTCTGTTTATAAAAACCTTGGCAATGGCTGGGAGTTTATATTTGTACTTATATATTTATACATATACGCACCAAAATCGCATAATAAATGTTTGTACAGGGACACCAGTGATAAGAGGCGAAGGAGAAGAAGGAGACGGTATAAAAATTAAACAAATAAAAAGAAAAAAAACTAAATGGAATATTTAAGCAGGTTTCGCGTGAAAAAGGTGGTTACACCGCACGCGCACTGTAGATATTGCTGAAGAAGTAGACGAATGGAGTGAGGCGGCGACACAAAACCTTAAGCTGCGGCTAAAACGATAAGCGAGGTATTTGAATTTTTAATAAAACTTTACGTGCAAAGTGGCGAATGAATTGGAGGAAGGCTGTGTAGCTGCCCGAAGGTTGCGAAAGAGTGGCTAACACACAAACAGCTCTAAGACAAGTGGCTGCTTCCATGGGATGAGTGCCGAGATCAGCATTCCACAACTTAGGCACACTTTCACGCCATCATTTTCACAGCTGTTGCGACATGGCCACAACGAACAGCGACACTGTCCAAAGGCGGTGCAAACACTTACCGCACAATACCAGCAGCAGCAGCAAGAGAACAAAAGTTATACCAACCGACGCTGATGACTATTCAGTAGCTCGCCTCGCTTGTCTTCTCGTCGAAAATCTTCCAGCCACAATATGCTTTGATTCATTTTGCATTAAGAAACAGCAGCCAATGCAAATTATTCAAATTCATTTTATTTTCGCCTGACCAAATTTTGCTCGCTCTCTTTTTATTTGAGTGTGTTGAAGTAGCCGCAGTTTTAACGATGGCGCGACCAAAAAGCGACAGCGCAGCTAAATCGAATGTGTCCATCAAAAAGACGTTACACGGACTAGTCACGAACAGAAGACGAGTCGCATTCAACCGACCGCAGTCAGTGCGAGCCAGCTACCCGTCTCATTTTACCCGCATCCGCGGTTTTATCCCAGCTTAACCGATACGTCAGTCACTTCAAGCGCACAAAAAAAAATAAGCATTCTGCGTCGCATTTAAGTCGCTGTGGTTTAATTTGCGCTTTAATAAAATCTGCAGAGTCTCCGTCCATTTCTGGGTAGCGAAAGTTTTCTCTGCTACTTCTCGACTGTCCTGCGCTTTCGTTGTTCTAATGTTTTCCCACTTTTTCGTTTTATCTTTCCGGCTGACCTTCCTTTGCTCCTTCTCCTCTCAAAAGCTGCCTTATATCCATTTGATTTGTAAGAATCGCATAATATTAGCAAACACAATTAGAATTGGAAAAATATTCAAATTAAGTTTTATTTCTTTTATTACTTTTCCTTTCTCTGTTCAAGTGAAATCTTGGTGTTGGTATTATTTTTCGATTGAAGCTCACTGAAGCACTCAACCACAGATATTTCCATGTTATCACGCTCTTAGTGGTACTCGTATTCTAAACGGTTTTTTGACTTTTGTTAGTAGAATCCACACCTAGTCTCATAGCTACACAAGAGATACGTATATGTACATGTACATCTATGCATGAATATATATATTTAAAGAAACATTGGTTTGGTTGGCTCGTTGCTAGTTTGATTGACGGTTTCTTGATTAGCGCTTTTACTTTTCTCTTTTTTCGTCAAGAGATATTTGGGATTTTGAAATTGCTGTTAAATTTCAGGTAGATGTAAGACTCATAAAATCATTTCTGTTCAGTAAACTACTTTATACTGGGGTTGTGCGATTAATTGATTATTCAAAATTTGAATTAATCAAAAAGTAAATAACTCAACTATTCGATTAATTGGAAATTATGATTACTCAAAAGTTCAGTTACTCGAGTAATCAAGATTTTGATTAACTAAAAACAAAAATAGAACATTATAGGCAACTCTTGCCAACTTTGTTTAGTATTTGAATTGAAGAGGAACGTAATTTTTACTATTTATGGGTATTCATGGAAAACCGATTCTCCATACAAAATTAGTGTTAAATTGTCTTTATGTTTCATTAAAATCCATTAACTTTTTAAGTTAAAAACCGTCATACTGGACACATCATTTAAAATTTTTCCAGATTCGTAATCATCCGCGATATTCAGATCACTGTGCGACACCTTCAACAAAAAAAAAACAACTTTAAGATTGTACCTAAATACTTCATTGTTCTAAAATTGAACGGGGTAAAAAACTGCACTCTCAAATCTTTCTAAGCACTATAATTAAAAAGTTCAAAGTTTTTACGAAAACTCGTTAGTAAATATTACACAAAGTTTTAGACTTGAATTTATATAGTTTTTGTTAAAGAATTAACTGGTTTTTTTTTATAAAAAATAATTAATGGTAAAAATGATAAAATAAATTGTCAAAGCTTGGCGCATAGCTGTGACAAACACTATAAATAGTACGTATGTAATCTTGCAATTTGTCTTTGCTGAAACTTTATGCTTCCTCTTCTTTAAACCCCCACATATACATAGTTGGTTAACGAAACTGAGTGGCAGACTTCGACAATCCATTTAAGTCACTTAAAAAATCTATATACAAAGTTTCTTCTTCGCCGTAGCGACCACTTTAATATTTATTTTTTGGTCTTCTAAATCATTCTATGTATCCCCAGATCATCGTCTGCTGAAGCACAATGATTTTACATTTTTTAAAAGGTGGCATTTTAGAACGAAGTATCACTTAAATAGCTATCTATTGTCCAGCATTATAAGGGATTCGGCAGCGCCATTTTTCGTAATGAGAAAAATTTAGTATGCCAGCAGTTAGAAACTTCAATTTACACATCGTCGTGTAAAATGCAAAACCGCGTATTTATAATTGTTAAGGAATTTATTTCTAAATAACTTTGCCCTGAAGCGTGAGAAATCAGTTTTAAAAGGCAAATCCCCAAATACATATCGCACATTTGTTGCAAGAGTGGCATATTCCAAAAAATCAAAAACTCTAGAAAAACAGCTTTAAAGTTTCGAATTTACATATGTTGACAGTTGAAAATAAATACATATTTTGTTCTAGTGAGCTAAAGGTCATATCTGCATACTAAGCTCGATGTTGTATTTTATACTAAGGGAAAAAATTTAGCTTGATTCTAATTTCCGAAAAGTTCATTAATTTCAAAATTATCCTTTCAATACATTGATACACAAATTTCACAGGTATCGACCTGTTCGTGACTCGGCAAAAATTCAATGTTGTATTTATGTATGTTTATGTCGCCGTGTAAGTAAAAGCCAAGGAAATACATACATTAAGCCAGAAGTAAAAGCGAAAAGCAATCAAATTAGGCTAGAAGTGAAATTGATTTTTTATTCAATTTTAATGTATGACACATAAAATGCTATGCAATCAACACTGACTGACAGACAGACGTGGAAACACATACACATACATAAATAGATAACAAGGATGTTGATGGAAATTTGTTGTGCAGATGCATGTAAATACATACATACATACATATGTAAGTGGCTGCTATATAGGTTCTCATACATTTATATCTATGTGGGTTTATGCAGAAAAATTAACACATACTTGCGAAGGTACGTTATGTGAAAGTGTGTGTGCATTGAAACCCAGCAGGAAATAGGAGGGTCTATTCGCACTGTGCGACTGGCGACACTGGTGACACTTCCGACACTGGCGACACTGGTGACACTTCCGACACTAGTGACACTGGCGACACTGGGGACACTGGCGACATTGTGCTATCTATTAAAGCTAGCTCGATTTTGTTTCCTTTCAAAAGAGGAGAGGCCTCAGTTTGCTTTACCTGTTGGACTTTCAAAATATCAAGTACTGATACATTTTTTGTCCTCTGACTTTGTAACACTTTTCTTATCACCTTCTTCATGTATCTAAACATGTGCATAAATCTTAATATATCTCGAATTGTATGTAAATATACACGTGCTAGGATACTGCATAGATTTACCTTGAGGCCGATTATAACACCACGATACAAATTTCTCCCCTGAACAACTAATCGAAACCGACGAGTGCTTATTCGATTATCTATGATTGCTTTTTTTCCTTTTTTACATTCATATAAAGGCTCAGATACAGTGTAATGGCCTTATTCATAAAAAATAAAGTAGGTTTAAAGAGCTTTATAAATTGACGTTTTCATACTATTTTCAATTTATAAACCTTTTATAAAGCTACTTTATTTTTTATGAATAATGCCCTAAGACTATAAAAAGGTATACACAGAAGCCTACAATTGTATGATGACGGTGGGCAAAGCCTCTGCTCATTCCTTCCTTCTTTTTAATCAGGTTCTCTGTGTCAAATATTTCAAGGAAAATAAATTTGTTTTTTAAAATCATGAAAAGCCCGGCGTATACATTTGTGTTTTAAGCCCAGACTAGTTTGAAATGGTCCTTTAAAATATACCGGTTTTCTCTATGCAATGACTTTAAGGAGTTTACTAGTTATATTATAGTTGCTCATATATATATATATATGTATGTAGGAATATATCGCACACATTCTTCAAAAGTGACACAACTTAAAATGTGGCATTTTTGACATAATGCACTAAAAAAATACACAGAGCTTTTATTTACCTTGAAGCAAAAGCTGGAGCAAACTTTTGTTATAATTTGTTCCAAAAGCCTAAGGTAAAGTCTCCATTGCCCATATGAATAGCATGTGCTACGATATAGTTTTCGCATTTTCTGACGTACGTTTAATTTTGAGTTGTGTCACTTTTGAAGATCACCAAAAAATATGGCGGTTTTCCAAACGGAATTATAAAATGTATTCCCTTCTAAGGCTTCCGTCAAAATGTTTCGGAACATATAAGGATTAACTTAGCTGGACGTATTTAAAAATTCCCTCAAGTATATTGTTATTTTGAATCTGTTGATAAATATTTTAAATGTTTGTATGCATGTAGACTTTTAAGCTCCATCTGCGAAAATATTTTTAAAAACTAATTTTATTTACAAAAAGCTCGCGTTAATCTTTGTATTTTCCCGAAATTGGGAACATTTTTTCATCGCCGCTATTCAACAAATTGACTTAAAGAATCTACACTTCCAACACTGCTCTTCCACTACATTTATGCACAAGTAAATACTCCTTCGGATTTGTGTATGCAGCACGGGCTATTGTCCAGTTCTTATCAGTGCATTGCCACTCCGCATCATTTACTTACGTACAACTTGATATTTACTCGTTTAATTTCTTCCCACCAACTCTGGTAAAGTTACCTTTTGCCTTTCAGCCCCTTCTAGTCGCCTCACTCACCCCCAACCTAATCTTCGTCTACCATTCTCCAGAATAAATTGAAAGGAAATTAAACATTGAGTGTCGCTATTATTGGCGATTATTGAAGTTTGCCAACAGAGTCTATACATTTGCTGTTGTTGCTCTGGGGAATATTGCTGCCCTTGCTGGTACTGCCATTGCTGTTGCTGTCGCCAATGTCGTTGAGGCAAAAACCGCTCTCGATTAGCTACAGGCAAATTATTATGCGATAATTATATTACTTTATAGGACTGCAGTGCCGCCACAAGGCAACATAAACACCAACAACAGCAGCAATAAACATTGGATACATGCAAGCAACCAAGCTACGAACAAGCACAAGAGCGCAAGTAATAGCCGCTTGACCAGGGTTGCCACTAAAGAACAAAAAAAATACTTACCATCCACTTGGTAAAAATCTAACAAATCTGATAAATATCTACCAACAACTTTACTTGTTATTTTAATAAAAACTGTAGTTAAGTTCTATGCTTTAGTCATTTTAATAAAAATTAAGATTGCTTATTAAGGAACTTTTTATTTAACTAATTACATAGTATTTGAGATCAAAATCGAACGTGATGAAACTAAAGGCAACAACGAAATTTCATCATTTAAAAAACCTTCAACTATAGTTATTATAAGCTAATACAGTGACTTAAAAAGCACTTGGTATCTTTTTTTTTTTTTGATTTTCACAATGTTTTTTGAATTAAAAATTTTTTTGTTATTTATTTTTTGTTTTTGTTTTGTATAAGACTATTGTTTGCGCTTTAAACAAATTCATAAAAATCAAGGTCTCAAGCTGTTTACAATACTGAGAAAAATTTTAAATCATTTCGTTTAAATTTAAAATTTTTTACTCTGAATTTTTAGAAAAATTTTCGGTATGCATTTTTCTAGCCCATGTAATTTTAGTATAACAATGGGCAGCTAAAAATTCCCGTTGATTTAAAAATATATATATTACAATTGCCATTTATTAAAATAGGCGTTGTTTTTTTCTACTTTTTTTTTGCATAAAATCATAGCATCTAAGTACAATCAAAAGCTCCTCAGGATTCCAGTTAAATGGGTTTTGAATGGAGCACGGTATGTTCGCCTTTTATCGATATACATACTTACATATGCATATACTTATGTATGTACATATGTATATAAAAAGTGAGCACTAAAGCATTCGAAAATTAATGCGATAAAGAAGAAATAAATTTATAATTTCAAGATATCTACGAAAAATAAAGCGCGAACTAAAATTTTATATCTTTTCCAAACAAAATTCTTTAACAAAGATCTACCGAAATGAGTAAAAATTTTACCTTTTTACCAACGGAAAACCAATTCTACCAATTTTGGTAATAATTTACCAAAGTGGCAACCCTGCGCTTGATATTATATTAGGCTCCTGCGAACGTTTCCAATCGCCAACCCCCGCTCTTCCAGCCGCCACCACCACCCTCTTGTGTGCTAACTCGATTGCGCTTTATCCCATTTGCAGCGCTTAATCATCAATTCAACTAGCGGGATATTGTGAAATTGAAATATTGATTGGAAAATTTATTGTTGTTACCTCAAAGTGGGTCACTTTTTTGGGATCTTCATATTTTTGCCTATTTTGCCATTCAAAGCAAAAATATTGGGGCGAAAAAAACAAACGCAGAATAGCAGTTAGTGTTGCAATTTGAGGCTGTAACTGCAATTCAGCTATGAAGTATCCTTCAAATGTACGCTGTTTTTTCTGCTGTTGCTGTAAATGTAATTGATTGCGTCCGAATGCCACAATTGTTGCCGGATATAGGATTATGAAAAATCGTGTTACAAAGCGTAAAAGAATATCCTTTTATTTGTAATTTTGGGCTTATTGCCAATTGGTACAGAAATGATTTGTGCAACCGGAATATGACTTTTTGTGTGTGATTTTATTTGATATTACTGGCTACCAATCAGTGTTGAAAGCAATGAACTTTTGATTGGTCGCAAGGTTGTTGCCTTAACAAAAACAATTGTAACTAACTGGAGGGAGTTGTTGGACGAGATTTTGCGAACAAAACAATTTCTTGACGAATTAAATTTTAGAGGTCGTTGACTGATAGACAAGCAGAACAGTTTTTTTAATTCTTTTCTTTGGAGTACTGTGTTTAATGATATATGTAAATGAGTGAGTGTCAGTGAAAATTGTACAGTAAATTTTTGTTATTTTTTTTTTGTTTACTTTAAATTTTATTAGTTTTTAATTCAAATATCGTTCGCACTAAAACAAAATCCATAAAATTAAAAAAAAAATTTAATAAAAAGTTTGAAATTTTAATGAAAATGTAACTATTTTTGTTTAATTGTTACAAAAATAGAAACTTTGAGCTTAACGGATTTTGTTGTAGTGTGACATATATTTTTATTAAATATTAGCAAATACCCGCCGTGCTTCGCTGCACCTTAAAAGAAATTGTGTTTTTACACCTTCCCCAAAACTCTTGTGGCCTCATATATAAAAAATTAATTTGAACTGAGATTTTCAAACAAATTTTCGATTTATGAAGTATTCATTAATTTTCTATCGATTTAACTGAATTAAATTTTTCAAATAGATGGCAACCCGCTTCAAAAATTTTTTCGACAATAAACATGCTTAAACCTCCTTAGTTTTATGCTTTTATTATAATATTCCACTTATTGTATCACTTTAATTGAATAACATCTTTCAAACGGGTGGTAACCCTCCTTAAAAAATATTTTTGGCAGTAAATTTTCCCAGCCCCTTTTAGTTTGATACCCATATTGCAATGTTAGATTTTTCTTATCAATTAAATTAACTAAAAATTTTCAAACAGATGGCAACCATCCAGAAAAATATTTTCGACAGTGAGCCTTCTTAACCCTCTTTCTTAATCTACCACCATAGAAGCCATAGTTTGCTACGTTCGAGTAATTGTAATCTTAGTAGGTACATTTGGGTCTAATACGGTGTCACGCGAGTGAGCTCAATTTTCCTTCGTTTTATTTATGAGAGTGGCGAAACTTCATATGGCGGTTTAAGTTCGAAATTTCATCTAGTCACAACATCTAAACCTTTTTAACTCTTTTTAAGAAATTTGTAAGCCAATTTTGAAAGTGAATTCTTTCCAAAGTTTGTGTCCACATAACCACACCTCGGGAAGCGTGAGCAATGCATGTGCGAGATGCGTAACCCATGTACGTCAGCAACTCATTTAGAACCTTGGCTCACGGCAGAAAGTGAGGAAACTTCGGTGAGGCCACTCCTACTTACTCGGTTTAAAGTCTCATTAAAATTATCCCGGCTCACTAAATAAATGTGCAACTTTAAAAAGCTCCCCCAGGAATTAAGTGGGCGCTGGAATTGGAAGCCGCCATGAAAAAAATTGTCAATTAGAAAAAAATATTTGTCCTGTATGAGACTCTTGACTTTGTAAAACGCACAGTGCAATTGTTTAAAGTATTGTTAAGGAATCGGCAGGTTACAGTGAAAATCAAGAAGGTCGATATTTTATTTGCTTGTCGTATGCAGTCATTCATTAAGCAACCTCAAGTTATACCACTAAGTCATTTTCTGGCTGGTTCTTAATATCTTTTCGATACCATTACTCACAGACAAATCGCCTAATTTTTACCCATAGCTGCGCTAAATCGCTATGAATCGGTTGTTTCTTCAAAAAGCTACCAGTTATCCAGTTCTGGAAAGCCTTTTATCTTCTTCGTCTTCTTCTTGATTGGTGCTGTAACCACCTAAGCGGTTCTAGCCGAGTCAAACAGAGCACTCCAGCCGTTTCGCATCTATGCAAACAGCCGCCATTTGAAAATGAATAGTGGAGACAAGTCCTTCTCCACCTGGTATTTCTATAGCAGAGGAGACCTTTCTCTTTCTCTATTACCGGCAGCGCGAGCCGCGTTGTATACTCTCAGAGCTGAAATGGCTTTTCTCTTCACTCGCACGATATGCCCAAGCCAACTTGGTCGCTGTATTTTAGTTCGCCGCACGATGTCTATATCTCTGTTAATCTCATACAGCTCATCGCTCTGTCGTCTGTCGTATTCGCTATGGCAGCGCAAATACCCATACTTTTTAATCCAGATTAACTCTGATTCTTATCCACTCTATCGGTAGAACCCTTTATCTTATGTTCGAGGCTTGGTTAGTTTTATTACTTCGCCAGTACAAACGAAAAGTCCCTAATATCTTCACTGGCTCTTTAACCTCTTTAGCTTTTCACCATCTTTAACAATAGCTAGTCTAACATCTTAATAAAAATCATTAGTAGAAGCTCTCGTGCAATCACTTCGTTCATCGATGCGTAAGATCTCGCACAGACATCTCACATAACGAGCTAAATAAGTGTAGTACTCGTCGTCCAAGTAAGTGCTTGTCTGACCAATCGATTTCCGAATGCGTGTGAGCGTCTGAGTACCTAAATACTCACTGAGCCTTAATCAAATCATTCCCACTGCATTGTAGTTGGAGCAGCAACAAATAAAGTACGAGTATTACAATATTATTCCAGTGCATTTAATAAAGTGTTTACGAGAGTTCATCGGTAGATATGCAACCAAACCCATTTCGTATGGCGCGTCACATTGCGCCAAATTTGCAGACTATCGAAAAAAAATTAATAAAAAATACAAAAAAAAAATAATGCAGAATGGTTGGGAGCTGCTGTGAACGGCAGACGACACAAAGCAAACGACAATGGCAGGAAAATTGCTTTCCACCAACGCAACGCGTACGCCTGTTGCAAGCACGAGTGCGCTACCACACACGACGCCCGACCAAGGAGCGAGTTCGGACATGAACATGTGTGCGTCTGCGTGCGCGGACAAGCAGGCGGCAAGCAGGACGTTCGAATATTACATTGCAAGTAAATCGGAAAGATATTGGTAAGCGAGCGAGCAGCTTCATGTGTCTGTGCTTTCAGTCTCGATGACTGCGTCATTCGCATAATCGAAGTGCCACATACTTTTATATGTTTAAATTGTTGAGTTGCCGCTCCCACTCCACTAGCAGCCTCGAGCGCCTGCTACTGCCCGCCTTTCAGCCAGCTGCAGTTTCCAGAGCTCATTCCATTTTAATTCACCGACATTTTCATTTCAACATTGCAAAAGTTTTTGCTTTTTTCCTATTTGTCTTTGTAACTTAAATTCGACTAAGTAAAAGGCGGCAATAGCAACCACAACCGCCAACGCCAAGAAGGAGTCCCAGCAGTCACAGCGCGCGCAGACAGGAGGACGAGTGTTGAACGTTAGCATTATTTGATGATGCTTTTCGCGATTTTTTCGCACTTGAGTGGATGATTTTTATTAGTTGAATTCCTTTGGTTTTACTTTAACTTAGCAAACAAAAAGTGAGGCCGCATAAGGCGGAGAATCAGTATTTACGAAGCAAAAGAAGACCCAGTCGAAGTTTTCGTCTATCTTTTGTATGGGCTGCTTTCGGCGCAGGCTGTGTTGTGCCGTAAACGAAAATTTCGGCACATTCACAAATAAGACTCACACACACATGCACACACAAACAAGCATTCACTTACGAAGATTGCACTACTCAACTTGGCGCCTGCGGTTGCGGCGTCTTTTTGATTTAGCCTCTCAGGTTTGCTGCTGCAGCCGTTTGTCCCTCCGCTTAGTGCGCTGCACTTCTCAGGCGGATTCACTTTGTATTTTGTTTGTCGTATCGTCGTTAAACAAACAATGAATTTTCGAGTGCTCTATTTTGTTTCTTTCTCTTTTTGGGTTTGGCAACAAAATTATTTTCTCTCATTTTTGCAATCGTTGCAATTTTGAAGTTTTCTTAAAGTAGAATAAATGTGAACGCGCTCATCCTAGTCTATACTAGTGTTGTGCTGCTGTAGATGCATCCTTTATTTGCTAGAGCTTTTTGTTTGTCTATATTTGTTTTGCCTCTCTTTCACTAACTATTTATTGCCTAATTTAGTCGAGGTTTTCTCTTCTTAGTCTGCATTCTTCACTTTGATTTATTGGCAATGCATTTACGTGGGTAAATGTTTTGAGTTTCAGCGAAAATATCATGGCAAATCAATATTACAAGTAGGTACTGAGCGGTGCTTTAAATTTGAATCTAGTTTAGGATTTAAAATTTAAGCAAATACACATTTTCACAGCAATTCATTGTAATTATGGCAAGACATAATTATATTCAGCTATACAATCGAAATTTTTATAACTTTGTGGAATATAGAAAACTACAATAAAACATAAATATATCAAGGCAGCACCAGTGTGGTCGCCAGGGACTAGTAGGACGCAGTGAATGAAGCTACAGACGACACAAAACACTGCACTGAGGGCAGCGACTGGATGCCTTCTGATGTCGCCAGAATACGACCTGCACGACGAGGCGAAATTGCCCAGGCACGTCAGGAGGCATCTCTACGAACTGACAGACGAAGTCCAGAGGCTCATTAAGCAGCCCTGGACCCGTCAGCATATCGACAGGCCCTGAACGGCATCACAGAGAGTCTGTCCCAAGTTATGTAGTCTCTAGACCTGTGATTGGCGTTCTAGGCACATAACCACCGGACATCGACGAGACGGAGCTTCATCTGCCTCGGGAGACTAGAACTATAATAGCGCAACGTCTCTCTGCCTACTGCAGCTGGTTAAACTAATACCTGAGAAGATTAGCCGCAGATGTGCCAAATAAGTGTCCGGTATGCGGAGAGACACCACACTACTCGAAACACCCTTCGTATGCCCGGAAAACCCGAGCACACTAACGCCTTTGTCCCTGTGAACCGACCGCATTGAGGCTGAACGCTTCCTGGGGCCTCCGTTAGTGGAGCTTGATGAAAACGACTGAAATATTAACCGATCTAGGCGGGGGGTTGTTGTCGCCGCTACAACAACAACAACAACAACTAGACAGCAGAGGCCATACACAGTACATGAGACCGGCGACTAAATAATAAGGCCGAATGTCAGACGCGGAGACCCGATCTATAAATTAGAGTTTAGCCTAAGCATCTAATAGGAAACATAGACAATCTGCGGGCAGATTATGAAAATATCATACCATAAAAATTATGGCTCCTCAATTGACAGCCTATAAGTCCTATTAAAGCATTGGACTTAAACCTGCAGATACCATCGGAATTCTTTCATTATTTGAATTTTTTTTATTAACATGCCTTTATATATAATAGCATCAGAACGAATTTTTCGGATCACTATTTTTTTTGTGGTCGAATCATAATATACATAACTATGTAAATGTCTTTCCATCATGGCTTTTCAATATACATTACTATCTTTGAGGGAAATTTATTTTACATCAAAATTATTTGCATTCATAAAATGGTATGACAAAATACAATAAGAAGAGTATATGTCATAACATTATGTCATGCCATATTTTTTGTCTAAAGTCTTTTAAACTTCTTTTAAAACCACTACATACATAAATAAATTGTCAATGACGCACAAAAAAAATGTATTTGAAAAAATGTGCCATTTTCTAGGCGCTAAGGCGTCATTAAACTCGACAGGTAAAAAGATTCTTCTCGGAGTTGAACATTTTTTTCATATCGTCATGCCTTTCTGCGCCCCGCTGATGCGCGCAACTGGCCCACCATGTGCCTATATTTTTCTCAACCTTCACAATAAACTGCACATAATTTCCCTGGCTTCTTGGTATTTTCATGGTTGCTCAAAAATTAAAACTCACCCCACGTACGAAAATTAAATGCTTGAGTATCTGTCTGTCTGTCTTCAAGTATCACTTTATCAGGTTATTAAAAGGGCATGCATACCAGCATACTTAAATTGCGATGAGCTGAGGAGTTGAATGGAGTTGAGCTGAGTGGTTCGTGCATGGTGGTTGGTTTGGAGGTGGCATGCCAATAAAATTCGCACAACAACTTTCTTTCACCTCTGCCTCCACGTCCGACACTTAAGAGCTCTTGTGGTATTATGCGTATTTTTCGGTCCCCATGCAAGGGTTTTATCCACACGAGTGTAGCATATATCCTTCGAGGTGGCGGTCGATGTTGGCAAGGAGACGTTGTCGTCGTTGATGTCGTTTATGTACGCATTTTCTTGTTTTAAATGTTTCAATTTAATTTTGCACGTTCGAATTAATTTCACCATGCGCTTGCCTTTGGCATACACGCCTTAAATGCATGCTTTGCTTGCTACTTTAGGGGTCTCACTTTGGCTGCTTAGCTTTTTCGAAGGCAAATTTAATTAATTTTTAGCTTGATTGCATTTAAAATGGTACGCAATGTACATACATTTGTACACATGCATATATCCCACTACTTATATGCTTAAACCCTTTTCACAAGTTCGTTCACACATTCCCATCACAACAAAGGCAGTGGTTACTTTGTATTTAGTGGCCTCTCTGGCAACTAAGCCACTAACTTGGCGCATTCGGAATTTATAGTTATTGTGGCTTGCTTTGTTGTCTGTCTAACTTAAATACATATGTAAAATACAATACCATTCATGCAGTAGATACTTTAGTCCACAAGGGCACATAGACACATACAGAAATATATTTTTTTGTGTGTTCGTTTATAAATACTTTTCAGCCTCCACCTTCGTACTCTGCTTCATGCATTTGTTGTATCCTTTTTATTACAGCTTTGCTGTTTTTCCTATCCATAATTTGGTTGCCTCTTGAATTTTTACTACCTCTTCTCGCCTCGCTTGCCCATACGTTCGCTTTTGCTTCATCTACCGCTTGCCCTTCGGTTCACCACTTTCACTTGAACTCCTCTACTGTGTTGCTTTTTGGCTCTACTCAAGCGTTTTAAGTGGCTTTTTAATTAATTTTCGGTTTTTAACTTGTGATTTTATTAGTTTCAATAAATTTTTATGAAATTTCTAAATTTAGCAAACCGCAGAATAAACAAAACCATGAACGGGGCTGAGTTGAAATAATTTGCCTACCTTTTGTATGCCTCTCCAAATTGGGATCCTTAATGCCTGAAAAGAGAAAGAGAAAGAATTTACGTATATTTAAGAATTGGAGCATAAGTTGGCTGTAGAATAGTAAACAATTTAGGAGATGCATAAATATTGAAAAAATATAGTACAATTAACAGACCCGCTCTTTGAAACTTTGAGGTTAGTCGCAGAAAAATCGTCTGCATTTAAGCAGAATATTCTTCTCGGTATTACCACTAAATAATGACATGAAAATAACGGATCAGCGCGTAAGCCAAAGATAATGGTATATGAGTGTCCACATTTGGGGCCTGTGATGACTCGAAGAAAAGCTTATAAAGTTAAAAATTAAAAGGGGGTATTGATCTAACACAGTCGACCAGAACAAGAAATTAAATGTTTTCGTCGTTACAGGGCTGTCTGCAGTTCTCAAGAAAAAACACAAGAAATATTTTCCATTATTTCTGTTGTTGAAAAAGAGCTTGGATTGTGCCGTAAATTTTATTGAAGAAATAAATGCAAACACCGGATTTTCACTAGGCATTAAATGACACAAATTATAATGACAAAACCGGGCAATAAAATATATTTGTGTCATTGTGTCATTGTGTCAAGAAAAATTGCCACTCAATTCGTTTCCACATGGAATTTTTTAGATGGCAAAACTTTTTCGTCATTTCAATGGTGGAAGTAGTAACATATGAACTCAGAAACTGGTGTCTTATCCAACATTTTTCATAGGCTGGTAGGGAATTTTTACTTTAGCATTTAATGGTGCAAACTTGTAGGCATAATCTATGAACAGTAAGCTCACAGGCGATTGCAATAATAAGTAAATACGCGATTCTTTCAAGTAACAATCACATGTAAATACTCAATATAAAAAAGAACACCTGAAAATAGGAGTCTAAAATTTAGACTCTAAGTAAACGTTTCAAAGATAATAGAATTGAAATACTGTCCCCACATGATAAACCATTTTAAATTTATACTTTCTCTCCCGCGCCGAAATTCCAAAAGTACGCACATAATATCTACCTCTACCAACCACTACATAAAGTTCTTAATTTATACAAAACAACTCATAAAATTGCTCATAAAAGTATGATTAGCACTTCAAGAAAACCTAATCGGCCATCTTGTCGGACCATTTCAGAAAAGCATAAAATGTCTCAGTAACTTCAACAGTCACAAAAGAGAGAAGATTCATTGAGACAATTTATGTATTTTTAGCAGTAACTCGACAATCGCTAAACTCTTGCGCCTGCGATAAATCTTCGTCTACACACACACATACATATATACTTACATATATGTACATATACGTAAGTACAAACAAACTTGTACTCGGTAGTAAAGTGCCTGTCCACAAACATAATTTGCATATTATTATCGCCAGAAACACTTTGAAAGATGTGTGTTTGAGAAAATGGCAAGTTGTTGTTGTTGCTGGGTGGAAAATGAACCCGAAAAATCTCCGGTAGTAAAGCGGTTAAAGAGCATAACCCAAATGCACTCATTAAATTTTGCTGCATACATAAACTGAAATGCGAAACTCATTTTGGAGCAGACGCATGGCGAAAAAATTTGTATGCATACATATATTTTAATGATTTAATGGCAAATGTCATAATTTATTATGTTATTAAAATTCCAAAGTAAAGTAAGTGAATACAGGCAAAAATAAAGTGGGTCAAAAAGAAGATGTACCCAGAATGCGAGATTATTTAAGGGCAAGTTAATGAAATTTTTGTTTGTAGCGGAAATGCAGTAGTATAACATGTGATTTGGCTAAGCGAGGCGCTCTTGAGTAAATTTACTCTAAACGAAATAATTTAACCAACCCTAAGTAATAATGTGCCTTTAGTTGCATTTTAAAAATTTTGAACAAAAATTTATATTTTTTTTAAGACAGGCTATATTATTTAATCAAAAAAGGAATATCTACACATATAATACGCGAAGGGATTTTTTGTCCAGGTCATCAGATCTGCACCGTTTGCTCGATGATTAAAAGTTTGGTGTCAAATGAAAGGGCCCCGGCTGCAGATGACTTTTGCCACCTGTTAAAAAACTAAAGTCAAATTATAATTAAAAATAAATGCCACCAGATACGTACCGTCCGTTCGCTTTTCAAAAATAAGGTGTCAAATTAAGGGGCTTAGGGTGTGGATGTTCAATAAGGTTTTACTTTTTCGAAAAGAGTTGCCACGTATTAAGAAATTAAGCTAAAATTTTTTAAAGAGTTAAATCAATTGTTACAATATGGGTATCAACCGAAATTGTTTTGAAAATGGTGTAGGAGGGTTGCCACATGTTTAAAAAATCGAATTCAATTTTAATTAATTAAATTAATTTGGTTAGTGAATAAGGTATCACTATATAGGTGCCAGACAAAAGAGGTTTGAGAAGGTAGTAGTTTGAATATATTTCGAAGAGGGTTGCCACCTGTTTCAGAAGTCGAATTAAATTATTTCATACCCAAGTTATATGAAATATTAAAAATCGAATCAATTTTAATTAAAAGAATTTGGTTAGTGAATAAGGGATCACTATATAGGTGTCAGACAAAAGAGGTTTGAGAATGTTTGTAGGTAGTTTGAATATATTGCGAAGAGGGTTGCCACCTGTTTCAGAAGTCGAATTAAATTATTTTATACCCAAGTTATATGAAATATTAAAAATGGATGTCCAACTAAATAGTTTTAAGAAATCCTTAGTTTGACAATTTATTTTGAATATATTTGATGTGTCTGAAGGTTGCCCCAGTTTAAAAGGTTAAATTAAAATTATTTAATAAGTTAAGTGAGTTATTAAAAGATGGTTATCAATGGAAATGGGTTTAAAATCCTTTATTTCGGAACTATATTTAAGAGGGTTGCCATGTGTTTAAAAAATAAATTTCAACTTAGTTCATCAGTTACTTGAAATATTTATAACGAAAGATATTCAGGGAGATTTTTGTTCAAAAATTATTTGTTATACACAATTTACATGAAATTTTAAAACATGAACATCAAACGAACGAATGTTAAGAAATCTTAAAATTGAGCATTTACAATAGGTTAGAGTAATAGAATAGGGTTATTACCAGTTGAAAAAAAATAAATTCAAACTATTTCATAAGTTTAATGGATTGTCAAAAGATGGTTATCAATCGAAATAGGTTTGAAAATAATTTATTTTTGTACTGTATTTAAGAGAGTTGNGAATGCGTAAATCACCGTTTAAATGTTTCAATATACAATTTTCACAGCTTATCTCTTCAATCCCAATTATCGCTTTAAATATTTTCCAAATAAATTCGCTAAAACGTATTCTTCTACTTAACTGCAACAACGACATTCTTCTTCTGCCCAGCCGCACACTGTCACAGTTAGGCGGCAGTGAAAATCTAGCCGTCGTTGTACTGGTACTTCATACCAGTTTGTAGACGAAAATTATTCCATTCAATTTTAATTCGTTAACGAAGTTTTCAACAGCGCAACAACAAGAACAAGCGCGTAGCTACGAATGAACAATGGCATTTTTGTGCAACAAAAACAATTACAAAACACACATAAAACATAACAACGGATGATGGAACAAAAGCGCTGAGGCAGCAGACTGAGCAGCCAACGAGAAGTTAAAGCATTAAAAGTTGGTTGGTAACTCTGCGAGAGCGAAGCTTAAAATATGGGCGCGCACAATTTTATTTACAAACAAAATCCAAAACGGCAAAAAAGTAAAACAAACTAGAAAAAACATAACAGCGCGTTCAAAAAGTCAGGGTTGCCACGCAGTGAGGCAGAAAGTTTGGAAATATGTATGTAGCTACAAGAAAAAAAGGACAGATTAACGTAAAGGCACGGGGAAGTTATGGTGGCAGCAATTGTTGTCACAAAAATTAAAATGCAAATTAGCCAGTGTTGCTAAATATTGGCATGTTGCTAATGAAGTTGTTCCTGTTGCTGCTGCGGAAGCAAGGACAGCAGGCGTTTGTTGAAACAAACAAAAAAAAAAAACAAAAGGACTTGAAGGAATGTTACGTTTCCGTTCAAGCTGTTCGGGCTCGTGTTTCCGCTGAAAAAGTTGGCGCTGGTTGTCGATGGTTATTTTGCCGCAGTCAGTTGAGTTAAATCGAGTGAGGAGGTTTTTGTTGTTTGGGTTTAAAATCAAGTTTATTTCTGAACTTGGCAAGCCTTTTAGAAATTTTTTGGAAAACATTTCTTTTCTTTAATTTGTTGTGGTTTTGAAAGACAAATAACCCTTCAAATATGGATAAAGGGGTAAACGAAAGAAAAATATTCATAGAAGGCAGATGTTGTACCCAGCATCTAGCTATTTGCATATAATAAAGAGCCAAAAAAAATACTAAGGACTTTAAATATTACGGTCAAGAAATCACGATAAACTATGTATTTTTATTTTTATTAAAAGTAAAGTTAAGATTTAAACAAGCGTTCGAACCTAAAAATTCAGGAAAAAATAAAAAATTTGAAAAAAAATTTGAAACGTGCAGAAAATACCGAAATACGGAAAAATATTGAAAATGTACAAAAAGTCTCCGAACATTCGGAAAAGTCTCGGAAAATCTGAGGCAACAACAAATGTTCCGAAAAATTATTTAATCCGATGCGAATTTTCGTCATACCTTGTAAAATTTGCATCTGTCCGTAAATACATCACTCACATCTTGTTGGAAGCATTAACAACCCAAAAGAAACAGTCCCGAAAAATACCAATGCAAGTTCCAACAAAACGCTTCAAGAAGAAAGTTCAGAAAAAATTATAGAAATTTCTAGAAAAAAAAAAAACGAAAAAGCAGACAAAAACGGCGAAAGATCTCCATAACATCATGAAAATTTGCACAAACATACTGAAAAATTTTGAAAACTCGACAAAATTTAAGGAAACATATCCTAGCAAATACATAAGAGGGCACGAAAAAACATGGAAAGTCCGGATAAGATACTTTAAAAAATCAGAAAGGTTCTCTGAAGAAGTCTCGAAAAAGATTCGGGTCAATATTAAAAGATTTTAAGAAGTCCCGAAAAAGC